CCCCAAAACCCCAAAACCCCGTGATTTCAATTATTTGATTAAAACAAAAATAAGTAAATATGTATATATTATATTCTAAATATAAAAATAAGTAGTAGAGATAAATGTCAAATCAATTTTATGTTATTTTTCTATTCTTATTGTTGAGTCTCACCTAAGTAACTCCATAGGAAGTTAGTTTCTATGAAGGTTTTGTAACAATTTTGATATACGGTGATGGAAGCTTAGATGATTTATAAAGAAACTTAGATTTCACAAAAAATTAACCATATTATGCTTATGAAGTTCTGGTTGCAGTAAAAAACAAGGAAATTATTCATTAGATCTCCATAAACATAAAACACTAAGAAAACATTTAGATGATTGAAACAAAAGACGTCGATGACTTTGCAAAAATATTGAAATCTTCATTCCACTTAGTAAATGGGGAGTATATAGCTTTGATCAATACAAGGACAACTAATAAGCGAGATAGAATTTTGCAATAGGTTTATGAAGCTAGAACTTAAAATTACAATGTTGTAGTATCTGAAATTGAGATTTTAAATGAATAAGGCGAGCCACAAGACAATTCGTACTTAATTGATGTTGACTATGCTAGGAATTTAGATGGTATCCTATTTTCAACAGACTTCAGATTAGAAGCCGCAGTAGTTATGAGAAAATTATACTTTGCTGAAATTTTAAATCAAATTCCAGAGATAAACAGATATTATGCGATGAGCTAATTTGCAAAAAATTACAATGTTAATTTCAGAAGCAATGCTTTTACCCAAATCAGCCTTAATAGATATCATCAGATTTATTTAGAAGATTCAATTGTTAAACCTTAATAAGACATAGTGAGATATTTGACATACAATTCTTATTTGAACAACAGAAATTTCTAAATCTCTACTGTGTAATTTTCTAAAATATTAAATTGCTCTTATGATTTCTTAGGATGCGATGAGCAAACTCTTTGCTTGGTTGGATATCTAATGATAGACAAGTATTTAACTGATGAATCCGTTTTTTACCATTAAAGAAATTAGATTCTCGATTAGATATAATAGATCTTTAATCAATCCTAGAAATTAGATGAAACTAAATAAAATCCTATTTAACACCCTTTAGTATCTGTAATTATGACTTGCTATAATAGAGACTACTATCTATTAAAGTCTATCTAGCATGTGTTTTAATAGACCTATGCTAATTGGGAACTACTAATCTCTGATGATGGCTCTCATAATCCAAAAACAATCTAAATTCTTTAGTTAGTCTAAAATCACCCAAGGATTAGAGTTTTACATCTTTATACAAATCAATATGCTGCATATGCTCTAAATTTTGCAATTTCATAAGCAAAGGGAGAATATCTAGCAATTTAAGATGATGATGATATTATGTATCCATCCAGATTACATGATCAAATAGATTTTTTGTAAAGAAATTTAGAATATGATATCTGCGGAGCAGGATTTAAAAGAATAAATGAAATAGGAAAGCCTAAATTTTAACTTTAAAAAAAGGAGACAAAATCGTTTGCAATTATAAAATTTCTATTTCTCTTCGTTAACAATATTGCACATAGTTCTATTGTAATAAAGCTGAATTTAAAAATGAAAGAACTTTTCATCTATAATCATTCGACTGCTTGTGATTATTCACTATTCCTAAAACTCCTATTTGAAGTAGATCAGAATATAAGATTTGGTTATTTACCAACTTTTGTAGTTGGAATCAGAGAACACGAGAAAAGAATTTCAAATAATGATAATGAAGTATCTCACTACAAAAAATGGATTAACCTTAAATAAATAGAAATAGCCGAAAAAATATATCCAGAAATATTTGATAACTTTGGATACAAATGCTTTGAGAAAACATTCTATTCACTCACAGCTAGCAAAGATTTTATAGAAACATGTAAAAATCATGACATTTAACAATACTTTAACTAAGTTAAAAATGGTACGATATAAAAACTATTTGTATAATAAAAAGATATTAAAGATTTAGATTAATTTTTTAGTCTGTACTAATATCAGTACACGATTAGACGTCAATTAAATTAGGTCAAATACTTGGATTAGTAACGAACCTTTGATTGTATTGTTCATTAGGGAGAAATTCGCCTTTTATTGCTTCATATTGATCAATTAAAAGATTATGTTGATAACTTTTTAGTTATCTACTTAAAAACTCCTACAGACCATCTTAAAATGGAAGACCTTAAGAAACATCTTGTGATTAAAGATAATTTATCAAAGATTACTTTTGAATTTATCAAGCTTTCATCCCAAAAAATAGACGAATATTTAAATGATTAAAATAATTAGATTAATAATATCTTTATAAGGCATTTAAAAATGTAAGGTATCTAGCCTTCTGATTATGTTATTCTTACTAAATCCAATGAAATTTTAAACCCATATTAATTAAGGAGATTTCAGAAACTTAATCTAGATATAGGGATATTTAGATTGAAATAATATTAAGAAATTAACTAAGAACAATAAATATAGTTTTCTAAGGCTATAATAATGACTTTTAAATTATTTGAGAGAATGGGTTATAGGAATGCTAGAAATTTTATAATAGATCCAGATATTTTTAAACAGGTTGACTAACCTAGATTTGAGGATAAACTATAGACTATATAAGTCAAAGATGAATATGTTAATGTTCACACGATGTAAACTGCTGGTGTATATTTTGATTAATTTAAGTGTGGTTTTTACTAAAGTAAAGGTAACAATAAAGCTAAGACTTAAAAATAAATAGCAAACATGTCTTATGCAGAGAAAAGAAAACTTGAAGTATTTTCTAAAATAATTCAAGAAGATTTAATATCATATTGTGGAAAGAAATAATAGAAATAGGAAAAAATAATTGAGGATAGACCATACGATGAACTTTGAGGAATAACTTAGTGATCAATTTGAGTTTTCAAGAATTTAAAATCAAAATTTTTAAGGTAATTCATTATAAGCTAATTATGTTATTTATATTTCTAGTTTGAAGAAACACTAAATAACAGATTATTTTACTTAAGGGGTTTTGGGGTTTTGGGGTTTTGGGG